GGTCAGCGGGGCAGGGAACTCCAGGCTGGGCCCAAAACCTGTTCCCCTGCCTCTTCCCTCTGCCTGCTGGAACGTGGTGGGCAGCTCCAGGAGCTGGGAATGGCTTTGGGAATTCTGAGGGACCAGGCAGTGGGAAGCTGTGGGGGGCACGGGATGGATCCCAGTGCTGGAGGAAACTGGGATGTGTGCCCAGTGCCTTTCCTTGCTGCAGGCTGGGAAGGGGGTTTTTTTTCCCTTCATCTGGTTGATTTTTCTCACCCCCTGCTCTGTGCAGCCCATCGGGGTGGGATCCTGAGTTTGCTCCAGTGTCCTGGCCTGGGCTCGTGGGCAGGATCCCAGACTGGTTTGGATGGGAAGGGGACTTGGAAGGACAAGGGGCACAAATTGGAGCACAGGAGGTTTGACCTGAAGAGGAGAAAATCCTTCTTGCCTGTGAGGGTGGCAGAGCCCTGGGCCAGGCTGCCCAGGGAGGCTGTGGAGTCTCCATCCCTGGAGACCTTCCAGCCCCTCCTGGGTGTGTTCCTGTGGGATCTGCTCTAGGGGATCCTGCACTGGCTGATCTCCAGAGCTCCTTCCAGCCCTGCCCACTCTGTGATCCTGTGAGACTTAAGACGGGAATGAGGGACGTTCCCACTTCATCACAGAATCCCAGACTGGTTTGGGGTGGAAAGAACCTTCAAGATCACCCAGATCCAACCCCCTGCATGGGCAGGGACACCTCCCACCAGCCCAGGTTGCTCCAAGCCCCATCCAACCTGCCCTTCAACACCCCCAGGGATGGGGCAGCCACAGCTTCCCTGGGCAACCCGGTGTGCGTGTGTGTGTGTGGGTTGGGGATGATCCCACGGGGCTGAAAACCCTGGGAAGAAGCAGAGCTGAGCCACGCTGGGTTTTTCCCCTCCTCTGGCTGCAGAAATGGAAGAAGTTCTGGGGTGTCCTGTCCCGGGAAAGCTCCTGCTCCAGCGCCCGCCTGGAGCTGTTCGAGGGCTCCTCTCCCCCCGAGAAGCCACGCAGGGGGGAGGGCAGCAAGAGGCTGGTGAAGCTCAGCGACTGCGTCCATGTGGTGGAGGCCAGTGGAGAGACCTGCTGCCCCAAAGAGACCACCCCCTTCCTGCTGGAGACCACCGAGAAGAGGTACCTGCTGGCTGCTGAGGGCGCGGAGGCAGCGGACTGGATCCAGAAGCTGTGTGAGCTGGCCTTCCCGGTATGAGCCACACTGGGGTAACTGGGAGGGGGATTCTGGGGGTTGGGCTGTGATGGGGGAGTTGTGTTTTGCCTGCCCTCACTTGCTGCTCTGTCCCCCGGGGTAGAGGAGAAAGGAGGAGCTGGCAGCAGGGAGCTCCTTGGGGACTGAGGGCTTGTTCTCCATGGAGGAAAATTCCCTCTACGGCTCCAGGGGCAAAGGTAGGCACTGGGAAGAGGGGAAGGTGTGGCTGAGCTTGGGGTGCTTGCACAGGGGCAGCACCATGTTCTGCAGGATCTTGTGGAATCATAGAATCCCAGGCTGCTTTGGGTGGGAAGGGAGCTTCAAGATCATCCAGATCCAACCCCCTGCATGGGCAGGGACACCTCCCACCAGCCCAGGTTGCTCCAAGCCCCATCCAACCTGCCCTTCAACACCCCCAGGGATGGGGCAGCCACAGCTTCCCTGGGCAACCTGGGCCAGGCTCTCACCACCCTCACAGCAACAATTTCCTCCTCATCTCCAACCTCAATCTCCCTCTTCCAGTTTTAATGGAAGAACATGATGGTTTCTTCCAAGTTCCTAAATGGATGACTCAAAAAACTGCTCTGTGTTTAAGGTGCACCACCAGGAAGCTCCTGTCCTTCCTGAAAGTAGGAGGTGTGTGAGCAGCTCTGTATCCAGGCAGAGAGCCAAGGTCACCTGCAAAATCCCACTCACAAGACAGATCACCTTCAACCCAACCAGTCCTGCCCGGCCCCCCCGGCCCTTATCAGCCCGAGGCCACTTCCTCCCAGCCCCGCTGCAAGAGGTGTCACCAGCCACCCCCGCAGCACCTCCCTGGCTTCTGGGAGACGCAGCTCTTGCCATGTGCCCCCCACACGCCTCCCTCTCCCCATCCCCAGCTCCCCTGGAGCAGCACTTCGAGGTGTCGGTGAGGAGCACCGAGTCCTCGCGGCGCTGCCGGCTGCGCGGCCGCTGCCTCCTGCGAGCCGGGGAGGAGGCCCTGGAGCTGCGGGATCCCCACACCTTGGAGACCCTCTACACCTGGCCCTACCCCTTCCTGCGCCGCTTCGGGTGGGACAAGGTAGGTGGGGTGCCGGGCAGGTGGGCTGGGGCGGGTTGAGGCGCGGGGGCACGAGCCTGTCCCTCCCCAGGTGACCTTC